GTAGATTGCAAGAATCATTTCCAAAGCAATGTCTAAAACAATGATCACAGAGCAGACATTGAGAATAGTAGCAAATTAATTATTCGGCTAAAACTAATTGAATAACTGGCCCTCAGATTCAACGTAGTCATATTTATATAAATCAGTGCTTGTTGTTAGTGCTCATATCTCAGGATTTAACTGAGCTATCTTTAAAATTCAAACGTTAATCGATACAAAATAATAACGCAATAAACACTCACAAGCGAGAACCACATAACATTTCCTTCCCGGGTGATAATTAGGCCATCCCTTGGCGATAGTATCACGTTACTAGTTAATGCTAGCCCGTAAGAAAAAAACGCACTCTCATAAAGAAGATCGAAAAAATGGATCGAGATAGAAACAAATATACATTACACGCACAAAGTTTTTTATTACTTAAAATCTATTAGTTGTGTCTCTTCTCTTTATGGTATTTATTTCACTTAACACGATTTTTGACACTGAATTTCGTCCACCAACATATGTACGTTAGACGCATAAGCTGAGGTTCCCGCATGCAAGCAATTGTCAAGATGCGAATCAGTAAGCTTATTCAGGTTCTTTGACTTGATAATGTTTATGGTTGAAAACAGATATTGGCGGAGGTGGGTAGACCCAAAATAAGATTTGATTTTACATGTAACACTTCTTAATAATGGAAATCTGTTCTTTTCCACAAGTTTCCAGAAGTCTACATCTGTGGCATTGTGCTTGCAAAATAATATCATTCTTCAATTCCAGCTCGAGGTTTTCCACTTCTGCGGCAATAATTCTTGCAGTTGCTGTGCCGGTTTCAGTTGCTTCGTGGTGAATGGGTTGACAAAAAGATCACAACTGGCTCCAGGCAACTGAAATCTTGGAATTTTTTTTCAAATTGGTCCAGAAGCGTCTCGAAATGTCCAGAAAATCACAAGGACCCAAAACTGTCGTCATTCGCCATTTTTTTTTTATATTTGGAAAATGAACCAGGGACTTTGATCTCATATGAGACATCCATAATGTCGATTTGGCAATGAAAGCTTTCACAGATTCCATCATCTGAGCCAGCTCCTTGTCTTTATCCTGAAACTCAAATCCAGATTTAAAATGTTGAGTTTCTCATTGATATTGGCGAGGAAAGCCAGATCAAGTAGTCACAAAGAGTCACTTAGTTTTTCAATGTGTTTACTGAATTTGTCAGGGTTAGATTGCATGAACTCTTTTGTCTGCTCGATTAGAGATAAAAACCTTGATAGAACTTTACTTCTGCTGAGCCATCTGACTTCTGCACGCAAGATGAGGTCGACTGTTTTATCTCCGGAGTCTTCCAGCAGTGCTTTAAAAAGCCGGTGTTGCGAAGGAGACCCACGAATAGAATTGATAATTGACGTGGCAACATTCATGACATGTTCAAATGGAAGTATCTTTGCGCACAACGCTTCTTGACGAATGATGCAGTGATAAGACATGAAGTTTAGAAAACACTCGTCTCTTTAACAGAAAAGTCGTTAAATACCATTCTTATCATAACAGCTAACTGCGACGAGTCGGAAATATCAGTGGACTCATCAAATTGGAGAGAAAACATTAACATGTTTCCAAGTCTGTCTTCAGTTGAGATTGCATGTCATCAGCAATTGCTTCTATTCTCCTTAAAACAGTGCAGTCCGATAGTTGAAGGTCCTGAATCGCATTGATTATTTCACGCTTGTTAGAGAATACGTCAAAGAGGCTTTCGGCACCTGCAAGAAATGCTTTCTTCAGCAACTCACCATCTTGAAATGTTTTTTCTTCTTCTCCAGCAAGTGAGCAATTTTAAACGGAGCCGTTGTTGCATTTTTGGACTTTGAAACTGACTTAACAAACACTGATTGCTGCGCTGAAAGCTTCAATTTCAGCTCACATGCTTTCTCCTTCCTAACTTCCGAACCCTATGGGTAGTTCGTTCCATGATTTGTCTGAAAGTGACATTCCACATTATATTTCTTGGCCAATGCTACAGAAGCACCGCACAGCAAACACATGCACTTCCCTTTCACAAAACCAATACATTTCTTCCCAGGTGAAATTGTAATTGTATATCTTCTGCCTTTTGCTGGCCACACTCATTGTGCTGCAGTGGTAAAAAAAAAAAAAAAAAAAAAAAAAAAAAAAAAAAATTGCTAAGCCCCGACAATGAGAATGCTGAACAAGACTGGGTGCACCACTAACACTGTCACTGCCAAAAGCTCAAAGAAGACTGGCGAATAAGTTGGTGAGTCAAAAGTAGCCCTTTGCACCTTGTTAAATCCTTAATGTAATTGTGTCATATAGTCGAGTCAAGGGTCGACTCTGACCTGCAGTTCCCTCCACTTTTGTCACTCTTTGTGAGGCCTTTTTGGTGTGGTGAGCCTTATAATATCATGCCCCCAATCTTAAAATTTTATCGTCCTATTAACCCGCGAGCACGCGCGTCGGGCCTGTCAGAACCCGTCGTTACTACAGAAATTACTCCTTTCGATGAAATAGTTCGAGCTTCTCAGTAGCTGCGTTCAAGGTCATGTACGTGTCATTCACAGGCATTTCCGGAATTTGGTATTTTTTAGAAATTGGGTAGCCGGGCTTCCCAGGCCGGAGGCACGCGTTCGCATTGTCATTTTAAACCAGACAGAGGCGATAAGAAATATCAAGTTAAGACACGCCATCACCCTCTATGTTTTCGAAACCCAAGACAAGGCAACCAAGTTTCTAACCTATTCAACCGTCGAACCCCTTCTACATGCAATCCCAAGAAACACTGTTGCAGCAAAAACCTGCAACCGAAGCTTAGCGGGCACTATGCAAGGTCACCTTGAGCACGGGGTTGAGTACCCAGCCTTAAGATATCTACAGCAAATCTAAAATGAAATTTCAGGACACAATGAACTGATATTAGTGATAGTTTTTTTTTTTTTTTTTCTTTTTCTTTTTCTTTTTTTTTTTTTAAACCGCAATGGCGGGCACTTGCCTATTACGGCATTGGCCATTACTAAGGCCAGAAGTAGTTATTGTGGAGGCACCTTATAGGCTGCCAGCCTTACCTCCTATAAGGGGACAGACAACCACGCCTTCTCCGGGATTAGAAACCAGGCCCTTCGGTATCGCAGTCAGGCTTCCCTGACCACAGTACCGTCTGGGCGGCTCAATGAAAGTTCAAAAGCGAGAAAGAATGCGTACTAATGAGATGCATTAGGATTTTAAATAGAAATGTAATTTCTAATCGAGTCTGAAATTATTGCTTATATATCAAGCTATGCTTACGTGTAAATGCTGCTGATTGTTCAAAATTTTTAGAAAGAATAATTGGAATGACATTAGTTGACAAATTGTATTCGTATTGAAAATTAGCTTAATAAGAACCTTAATTTTGTACATAACATGCTTCGTTTTGTGCAAAATACTTAGCGAAAATGACTAGATTTTTGACATTGCGTGCAATAATGCGTACTAGTTTGCTAAATTCCTATATATAGAGACTTCAAGATTCTAAAGTTAAAAGTAAATTGGAGTCAAAGCAAGATTATTTCTCAACAATAGTAATACGTGCATAAGAGGTTAACACAAAATCCAAACATATCAAAATTAAAATAAAAATTCATAGTAGTACAAACTCTAAAATTAAAAATGAAAATGCAAAATGGAAAAAACGCAAGATAATAAAAATATAAAAATAATAATTAATCTCTTTTTATTGAAACTCCAATTCAGAACTCATCAGGGGAAAATAAATTAAAGCTTCGCAAAAGTCACTTAGTATGTTTCGAAAACGTGTTTCGTTCTCCTGGTTCATTTGAGATCAAAAACCGAAAAAGAATCTATTAACGTTTCTTTTAAGACACTAAAACTCATATAAAAGCGGAAACTCGGATCTCAAATACGCCAGGATTTTCCCTATTTGAGAAATAGATTTTCCCTATATCCCGTCTCCTATCCCCCCCATACACCACAAAAAATTACTCTACAATTCATCTCAGACAAAGAAGTAATGTTTAAGAATCTCAAATACTATAGTCATCACCAACAGCCGAAGCTTTAAAACCCCTGAATGTTGGTAGTTCGACCCAAGATTAAGCCCAGATAAATGGGCTAGCCGCATGATTGGTTTTCGTGCTTTTTGTCATGTGTATCATGGATACAAGCTAGACTTCCTTAGAAAATTTTTCTCCAAGAAGGCATCCCTTTCCTTAGGTAGATAGCCCTGGTAAACGTTGCCATATTCAAACAGGCAAATTAAGTGTCAAGGTAATATATAATTGTTTTCTTACAGTAATTTAGAAATGCACCAATGAAAACGTTGAATACGCTTTAAAATGCGTCTTAATCTTTCCAGGATCGTATAGAGTAAGATACTGGGAGACATGGGAAATAATGTCAAATATTAGTAAGCATATTACCGAATATCAGAACGAGAAATCTCTTGAATGAAATTATTATTGAACATTTTAATATGAAATAATGATTTTAAAGAACATTAAGAAATAAACTTCTCAGTTACAATAACAGTAGTTCATTGTGAGGAGAAAGTTAATTATGCATTGTGTTCTTAAAAGTGCTAGAAAAATTAAAACGCTTTGATTTGAATATTTGCCATCCAATTTATTAAAATGAACGACTGATAATTTTGTGAAATATTAGGTTTACATTTTATGCTAAAGTGCAACATAAAACTCAAATAATTTTAGGAAAATTCCGAAAACGACTCCATACACGCAGAAATAATTACTTATATATTTTATGTATAGAGTAATTTTTGAAGATTTAAAGTTATCGCTTTAAATATTAATCAGATTCTTTTCAGTTTAGAACTAAATTGCTTTCTCATCGTACTTTCAAAAGTTGTTTTGTAGCAAAATTATAATTTTATAGTGGATAAGGAAAATGTCGGAACAATATATCGCAATGTAATTAAATGTAAAAATTTATTTTCACTTCTATTTTTAAAAAGTGTTTAGATAATTGTTTGAAATTAATACTAATATATTCTTCCAGATGAAACTAATATCAATGGTTACAGAATTCCACGACGAAGCATCTTGATTGTGAATTTGTATACCATCAACAATGATCCTGACATTTTTCCAGATCCAAAGCGATTTGATCCGAAAAGATTTTTAGGAGAAAATAACAAGAAATTAAAATTAGTTGGACCTTATCCCTTTGGGATAGGTGAGTAAAATGCGATAAGAAAGCATTTTTAAAAAAGAATTAGTAAGTTTGCTCTGATTAGTAAAATATTCACATATTAGCTTCTATATCTGTATGTAATATGCCAGCGTTTCCCAAACTTTTTTGACCCCGGCCCGGTACGAGGTTTTAGATTTTTCGCGACCCACCTTATATAAAAAAAATTATTTACAAAACAAATTTTATTTGTTAATAAAAATCAAAATTCAAAATATTTGTTTGTTTATTTCATACACAAAATTGCAAAATAATTATATAACAAAAACATAAGTAATTAAAGACAATCCATTATCTTCATTTAAAACTTAAAGTAAATTTTGTTTTACATATTTTGACCTTAGTGCGAAGGATGATGTTATTTTTCATCACATAGTAATTTCAAGTTAGGACTTAATGATGTTAATTTTATTCTCAAATTAGGTTCGACATCCAATCTGTTTCGATACTTATTTTTTAAGTACATCAAGGCTGAAAACGCAGTTTCACACGTATAAGTGGTGACAAAAGGCATTAAAAATTGTATCGCTTTTTCGCTTATGTTTAAATATTCCTTTTGACAGCGCAAACAAAAATTAATTGGTGGTACAGTTTCAAACACTGTTTTAAGATCGGTGTCGCATGAAATTTCAATTAAATTATCAACTTCTTGTTCACTAAGATTAAGCATTTCTTCCTTTTCAATATCGACAGAAAAAGGATTTTTAATCCACATATTATTTGAAGGAATATCCGGAAAGTAGTCTTTAAAACTATTTATTAGCTCCGAAAGATGGTCTTGAATTGAAGCTGATAATGTTTCAAGATATAAATCTTCTTCATCGTAGTTTGAATTGGTTTCGATAAATTTATGTAATGTTTCAAAAGATTTAAAATTTCCTTTTGAAAGTCGTTGTTTCCGCAGAGTCATTTTTTTAATTATTGTAGCGACATTTTCCGATACTTTGAAAGTATTTAAACCGAGTCTTGCAAATTTAAATTCAATTCATTGAATGTAGCAAATATGTGGCCCAAATAAGTTACTTTTGTTAATCACTCGAAATCGTGGAATCTATCCTTAAATGGAAAAATAGCATCTTTTTTAGATGGTGGGTGTTCATTCAGAAATACCAAGGCTTCGTCTTTTAGCTCAAATAGACGTTTTAAAACGTTTCCTTTTGAAAGCCATCATGAATTACAATACAAAGGGAGATGTTTATGATCACTCCTCATTTACTTGCATAATTCGATAAAAAGTCTGCTATTTAATGGATGAGACTTTATGTAGTTTTCAAATTTGACGCATTCTTCCAAAGTCATGTTTAAATTTAAAGGCATTTGTTTTACCGCCAACGCTTGTTTATGGATATTGCAATGCACCCATACACAATTAATTGCTAATTCTTGAATTTGCTTAAACAAACCTTTATGACAGCTTGCCATTGCACGTGCTCTGTCGCTACTTAGCCCAACACGCTTCATCCAATCAATACCGTGACTAGTGGCAAAATCATTAGTAGCCTTAAAAATTTCATCTGAGGTCGTACTTGTCGGTAACCTTTTACAAAACAAAAAATTTCCTTGTATAGTGTCTTCATCAATATATCTGATAAAATACATTAGATATGCATTATCATTGATATCTGTGCTTTCATCTATTTGTAAGGAAAAAAAACTTGCTCTTTTTTACTTGAGCAACTAGTTCTTCTTCTATATGTTTCGCGCAATCATCAATTCTCCGTTTAACTGTATTATTTGATAATGGTATCGCCGAAAAAAAAAAAAGCATTTTTTTTTATTCCGCATAAATTATTTGAGACAATTTTCAAAGCGGGAAGTATTAATTTTTCTCCAGCACTAAGAGGATACCCAGTTTCAGCTATTAATTTGGAAATTTCAAAAAAAAAGATGTCAAAGAGAGGTTTTTATTTGACTGGTGAGGTAAGAGTGTGTTTTTCATTTTTTTTTTTTAGCAGCAATCAATTCCTTTTTCTTATCAGTAAAAAAGTTAATCGGCTTATCTGAGTACTCAGAATGGAGTGTGTTTAAATGCCGTTTCAACTTTGAGTGTTTTATACTTTCATTTGAAAGTTGCTCATTGCAAATAACACATAGCGGCAAATTATTCTGACTGCCGCCGGCAATGAACCCAAAGCGTAAATATTCGTCACAATAGTTGCGAGTGCAAGTAGCTTTACGCTTGTTATTTTTGGCGCTGTATATCTGCTTTAGGTGCTTCAGGCACAGTTTCTTCACGATCATGATGTCCAGCTTTGCTCGTGCTCGGTTGATCATCATCATTTAAATCTGTGGTTTTCTTGATTAACCATTTATCCATTTTAAAAAAGGTTGAAAGCTTTAATAAACAGAATTTGTTTATTAATGATTTATGAGAAAAAGTATTTTTATTACTTACCAATATGAAGTTGCTATTAATAATAGGTAATAATAATTATTGTCAAATAAAATAGGTAACAAAAATTCAAGCATAACCTTGTTTTGATACACGTGAGTTTACGGCGCATGTACCAGAGAAGGCATTGAATGACGAATCAAAATCAGCCAATCAGAGCATCCGAATTTAAATGGTCCGCTAGGAAACGGTGGTAAAGGCTTGCCAGCTGCAATACTTGAAAACGTTTCGAAAAATATTAAATTTAGAGCAAAATGTCATAGATTTTTTATGTTTTTACAATTTTTGCCACGAACCCAGCTGAATTTTTCTGCCACCCGGTGCCGGGTCGCAACCCATACTTTGGGAAACGCTGTAATATGCTACAGCAGTAGTGGCGGTTATGTGAATTAACACGCGCTGTGCAAAGTAAGCTAGAACTCAACCCTTATTTCGAATTTAATTCTTTAAGTAAGTAAGACATGCCAAATCAAATGAAAGAGATTGCGCAGCCCACTAGCGGGTGATTAGTTAAAAAATCTCACTTGTTATGAAAACAGAGAGAAGAAAATATTTAGTTATAAAAATCATACAGCATCATTTAATTATTATAATTAGCATTCAGATGTGCACTAATGCACAGTAGTTACCTATAATATGCCATCGAATGTAAATGAATTATGGAATGCATTACTTAATGCAAATATCGTAGCAGATATTAAAATCTTCCTCTCGTATCTGAAGATATTTCAGTTATGTGTTATAAAAATGATGCTCGTTCAAAATACTTCAAAATACAAGCTACTGAAGAGTTAATCTACATATCAGTCTTATCGTCCCAATGTTTAGACTTATAATGGCATAGGTATATTCACGACGGAAGAGAGTAGATTTGGAAATATTCGGAACTCCGAGCATCTAGACCTGTCAAGCGTAGTAGTCAAGCGCAGTACTACATTACGCATTTCCTTGAGACAGCGAACTTGGCGGAAATGTTCTCTGTCAGCTTTTAAAATTTTTGTGGTGCCAAACTTGCATTGCTTGTCTTTGAACTTAACGGCTGTCCGCAGAAATCACGTACGGTGACTGATGAGTTATCATCTCTGATACTACTTAATCACTAGTACACAAGTCATAAGGTAATTCAAAGTTAAAATCTAATATAAACTTAATAATCTTCTAATTCTAATATGAACCACGATTTTTGGATATTACAATTAAAATGAAAATAAACTTAATTTGAGACTTCTCTTCAACTTTCAGCAATAGCTGCTTACAGGTATACTAAGATTACAACGTCCTATCGATCTGATATATCTAAACATTCCCGTGTTCGAGTGACTATGAAGATTATGCTTCAAGATTTGTTTCCGTTATTCCATACTTGAATGCGTGAACTAAGACTTAAATGCATTTGGCAAATTTTGATCAAGCATAGTGTTCATCACATGCCACAGAAATATCCTTAAATATAATAGAAATTTACATATGATTTTATTGATATTAAATATATTTGTGCCAAAGTAATGTGTTTTATAATTAAATGCATATCAATGTATCAAGCATTGAAAGACATTGGTTATTCAATCATCAGCATATGTTGTTGTGTTGTTGCTTATCGTTGAAAGATCTGACATATGTCAGGTCAGCTCCAGAAGGTTGTTGACCGTCAAAACATCAATAAATCGAGCGAGGGAATCGGATGTTAAGTCCTTAGAAAGTCCGATGCAGCAAGTATGTGATCCGGTGAAGCTGGATGGTCACAGCATTTTTTACAAGCGGGGTGGATTTTTCTGCCACTATCTAAGGAAAGACATTTAAGGTGGCCTCTTGTTAGTTTAGTCAGAGCAGTCTGGGAGCCACGGTCACATTTCATTTCCAGTAGGGAATCCGGGGATGTTCCTGTGTACCATTGGCGCGTAGGTGGAACACGTCATATTATATTAAGTTTAGATCTTTCATTTGAGTAAAGTTCTTGGTAAGTGAGGAGCCAGTGACCGTTTCATTTTCACTACCCAGTTTTGTGAGTCTATCAGCGACCTCATTACCACTAATATTAACATGTGATGGGATCCACTGGAAGGGGACGTAGTGGGTGAGAGAATTTAGTTGTTGAACTTTAATTTGAGCAGAATAGATATGCTGGTTTCATCGCATGCCGACGACCAGCCATCACGATGTTGTAGTGCACTGCGGCTGTCCTATAAAATCCATAGTGCCCCAAAATCACAATCATATGCCAAGATGATATCAAGCACCACATTAATCGCAATTAACTCGCTCCTGAAGACAGAGCAAGTGTCAGGGTTGCGTTGCTTTACTGTAGTTTCAAAGTGAGGGGTCTTAATACAGATACCACTGCCAGTACGATCTTCTTTACGACTACCATCAGTATAGACCTGCATTGCATCTTTAGGAATGCAACTAATAATTTCCAGAGCCAGTTGCCTGAGAAGGTCTTCATGGTGAGTTTGCTTGTTTGCAGTGGATTTCAGATCAAAATGGAAGAAAACTCTCGGTAGTCCTACTGAGAGATCAATAAAGGATCTTAGAGATAGAAGTACAACCTCCCGAGAGATCAGGTTCTGAGTTTCTGCCAAGCTAAAATGGGTGT